ATTAGTCTCCAATGCTAGCATTTGCCTTTAACACAGAAGCCCATACATGTCAACAGAGCTACTGAAAAAATTGCCTGAAGAAGTCTTGATATACAGAAGTCTTTAAATTTTTGTGGTTGGTAAAAAATTTAGATGTTTAATATATATATACCTATATGTTTATGGCCTGTGAAACGGGAGTATTGAAAAGAAAGTTTACCGAAGTAAGCCAGCTGTGCAAGCTGGGAGGTTATGTAAATGTACATGCAGATCTTTAGTTTCTTCTCAGGTTGTCTCAAGTTTTCAAATGGTCAGTCTGGCAGTTATTTTCACCAAAGGCAAGTATGAAACACCAGAATACATAAAGTGCTGCCAATCCAAGGGGACATCAAAACAGTCGCACACCATCTAGTAAATTTTAGCCTAATGCTCCAATGATTGCTTGACCAATCTAAAGATCTTTTAAATTTAGTAGTTCCAGGATTAAAAAAAAATTTTTTTTTTGTTTAGTTCCAAATTTTGACTCTGACTTTTTGCACACTGGAAATTTTGAAAAAGTAAAAAAAAAAAAAAAAAATAGTGACATCTATTTCTCCTTCCTAGAGATAGTAAATTAAGCACTTTGAAGGTAGGAAGATACAGGCTTTGAAATCTTTGAGAGATCACAGAGGGATTCCAGTGTGCAGGCACACAAGATCCGTGACTCAGTTACCACTCAATCGTGTGGATGTTAATTCTGTCAATGAGAATTATTGAAATTCACTTCTGTGTCATGTGCTGTGTTAAGTACTAGGCAATTAGAACAAAAGTCAGCCTTACTAGTACATTTGCTGCTAATAATAGATACTATTTGTAGTGCTTTTGCTATTTTTTTTTTTTTTTTACAGATTAAGCTAAATACATGTTCTATTTCTTAAAAAACATATTACACATCTGTATAGTACCTATATTTACATCTCCTTTTTATAGATGACTTAACTGAGATTTTAACAAGCATACCTGTCATCATCAGCATCTCCTTTATTTTTTTATTTTATTTTATTTCTTTGGTACTGGGGATTGAACTCACAACCTTGCACTTGCCAGGCTGGTGCTTATGCCACTGAGCTAAGTCCCTAGCCCAGCATCTCCTTTAAAATAACATTTGTCCTTCCAGTATTAGGATGATTCTGAGTAATTATTCAAGTCTAGTTATGGGATTATACTCTCTAGTAGGCCTATGGGCATTATTTTAATCTCTGTTTGTTACAGTAGCTTCTTATCTCTGTAACTCTTTTGTCATATAGACTGCAGTATTCCAGGAAGTCAAAGTTCTCTGGACTATTGGACAGTTATTTTGTAAATGGAAATGCTTCTTAGAATAAGAACTTCCATTCTTCTGAGTCCTCTACTGGGCAATGTTAATGAACACAAATTTTGATTACGGTTGCCTTGAACATCAGTTTGAAAATGTCTTTCATTTATCTGAGCATTACATTGCTCTATCAAACAGAAAACAAGAGGAAAGAAAAGTCGACTTAACCTAACCCCAAAACGGGGATGATATCCGGGGAGGAGAACGAGTCAAAGGCAGCACAGCATGTCCTACTCTTCTGTAGTCAGGGTAGGATCACATGTTACAGGTAAATTATCTATTTTGTAAGTTAGGCCAAAGTGTTTGCCTGCAACTAACTGTGAAAGCATTCTTGAAAGCCCATGAAACCTTATTATTCTAATTACTAACACAGGGGTTGGTAAATGAATGATGAGGCCAGGTATTATCGTCATTAAATAGACCTCACTCAATTATTTATTCCCAGTTCTGGGGTTACAGCTGCGAGGGCTCCTTTGGGCTCCGGGCCTTGGAGACTTGATCACAGCCTTGGCAGGCAGCTTTTGTTGAATGCATTTCGAGGGGATGATGCAAACTTTTCAGTCAGACATTATGGTGGGTTAGGGCCAGTAGTTAACGTTTGTTCACAAAAGTCCTATTTTATTTAGGCACACAGCAATACTCATATAAATGCAAGTGGGGAGCAACACGGATTCATTACAGAAAAAATATAGTATTTTTTGTATGTCTGCTTTTTAGTTTTCTGAAGACTATTTCCTCGCATTCTTTTACCTGTCATGAGCATTTTAGTGTGATGTATACTGATCAATATTTATCACCGGATTATAAACTTGTAGTTTTGTGTTGCTAATCACACAGTGCAAAATGTCTTCTGATTGAGATATTTTTCCTTAGGGAAGGTAAGAATGGATGAAATCATGTCAGCTCACTGCAAAAGTCAGTTCTGAGAGAGTGTTAAGGTTGTTGGCATTGCTGATGTGGCCAATCCTTGTCCCTTCTGAGCCTGCAAACTGCAAGAGTGCTTTCTTACATCTTGAAAGCATCAGATTTGGAGGACTAAGATGGCCTTTATGCTAAACAGAGCTCAGCCTACCTTATGATGTCTGACTGCTTGAAAGGCAACCCCAAGATTTCTGGCGAGGGTAACAACCATTGCCCTGTGCCCCCCGGAGCAGTTAGTGAGCAATATAGAGAAGCTAGAACTGCCATTTAGGGACCCTTTTGGTATAAAGCTTATAGGTGGTGGTGGGGTCCCTTGGAGAAAGGAGAGGGGGAGTGCAGTGAAGAAAGAAGAAATTCATTTCTGACATTAGCTCAGTGGCATAAGTACCAGGCTTAACTGATCTGCATTTAGAGGCTTCAGTTCCATATTTTTTTGAAGTATCTCCTCTGTGCTTCCTTTCTCTGATCTTGTCATCTCTCAAATAAATAGTTTATGCTTAAATGCAAAAATGTATGTATTTAGAAGTCAGTTATGGGAACTCAGTTAAATTTTTTTTGGTACTGGGAATCAAACTCAGAACCTTGTGCTTGCCAAGCAGGCGCTATACCACTGGCCCTTAGTTTATAATTTTTGACATGCTTTTTTGAGCATTTTGGAGTATGTAGAATGTTTTAAAAATTTCTCCTCAATTAATCTTCCCAGCATTTCGAGGTCGTGTCAAAGGTCAAGGCATTTGACACGAAGCCAGTCTAGTGACTTCTCCATTTTTAGAAGGCTGCCATTTGAGCTTTGGGGAATAAAAACAAAGGGTAAAATCTAAAAGCCTGTAAATGATTTTATTCTCAAATGTTAATTGATGGTAATACAGTTATCAGATTCTTCCCCATTTATATCCAGCCCTAGTTATGCTGTCAGCTCTACTTCCAAAAGGTTTACCTTGTTGAAGCACCTCTAATTGTCAAGGCATTGATCAGTGCTGTGCGGATAGAAAAGGATGAGGTATTATCCCTGCCAGTCACAAACTGCTTTAAGATTCCGTTTGATGACCAAAGAACATGCTGCTGTCTTGTGATTTTGTACCAGAATACAGGTGGATGCAAGGGTACAGTTCCCTGGGACCAGGTAAGTCAGCAGGTGTCTGTTGGTGTTTGATCAACATATAGTATAAAATCCTGAGTTTAGCAAGGATACTAAGTGACCTCTTAAACAAAAATATTTCATTAATTCTTCATCTTTCAGGGTACTTTATGTTCTAACAAGTTTATTTATGGTCACGTCTCATGGTCTTGTCTGTAAAGGCATGCATTGCTGGGTCATCAAATGACACTGTTAGACTAGTAGCACTAAAATCAGATTTGGATTCACTTTCTTATTATAATAGAGCTACCTCTTCATCACATAGAATCTATGCTGTGCAGCCCCTGAATGGAAATGAAAGGTACATATTCTCTTTTTAATGTTCTTTTAATATTTCAAACAAGCATCAACACAAGTGGCTGTCTTAGGGCAACAGAGCAAACTACCATGTACTGAATGACTTATGCAACAGAACTCCCCACAGTCCTGAAGGATAGAAGTCCAAGCTCATGGTGCCAGTATAGTTGGGATCTAGTGAGGACCCTTTCAAGGTTGTAGGCAATTGGTTCTTGTATCTTCACATGGTGGAAAGGGGCTGGCAAGCTCTCTGGTTACTTCCAGAACGGGCATCAGTTCCATTCATGAGAACTCCATCCTTGTGACCTAATTACGGCTATGCCTTGCATAATGACATTTTAGTCAACGACAGATTGCATATTCAATCAGGGATTGATAAGATTATATTTGCTTAGTGATATCACCATCTTAGTTTGGTAAGTGTACTCTGGAATGTTTGCACAATGATGAAATTGACTGATGATATATTCCTTGGTGTATACTGCTTCAGAATATGTCCCTGTCAGAATGTGTAACTGTCCTTAAGCAGTGCCTTGACAGTATCTCCTTGAGGTCCCACTTGCATAGATCATCACATTTAAGACTAGATTTCAGTCTAACAGGGATCAAGCAAGTTTATGGAAATTGTAATATCCTTAACATGTTCACATTGTCCATTTTGATGAATTAATTTTTTTAAAAAACACAGACACTAATGTGACTTTTATAAATGTTTCAATATTTGACAATAATATTAAGAGTTTAAGGGATGTTTTGATTGTGAAGTCAAAAATACTTTTTTCCTTCTCTTCCCTTAGTCCCATTTGTTTTACAGCATAATCTTTCTCTTTTAAGCCATAAGTGCTTTTATGGGATTAAAGTATAGGGTTGTTCAGCATGTTCTATGGCAGTTTGTCCTAAACTTCTCTCTCTTTCTCTCTCTCTCTCGTTCAAGGCATTCTTTAAAAAGAAGGAAAGAAAATACTTTAAAATAAACATTCTGACTGCTAGAATTTAACGCTAACTTTAGCGTCAAGACTGTATGTGGTAGAAATGGGAAATAGGATTTTGTACTTGACATTTAGCATAAATTCCTTGCTTTTTGGTGACCCCAGATGATTAGTGAGACTGAGATATCTTGCTCTTGTTGGCCAGAATTTAAAAAATTTAATATGCATTCTCGAGGTTATAAAGTGCAAGGGAATATTATGGTGATGGTAAAGAATTTAGAAGTAAGAATGGAGACCTATTAATACCACATGTTCCCTACTTATATGTTCTATTTATCTCAACCCATTTCCACCCATCTCTGATTTGCTTTTATTTTTTCAGGGAAGCAAAAAAGTTTGTGAGTGAAAATGAAGGAGCTCTTGGGAAAGGAAAAGGAAAACGATGGTTTGCATTTAAGATGATGATGGCCAAGGTAAGTATTTTGATAAGTCGGTCTGTTTATCCCATACTGACCTCCATGAGGGAGAACATTATGTCACTTCTAGGATGTTGGAAAACTGGGCTCACAGGTTTTATGCAAAAAGTATAACTACAGTGCATGTACAGTGAGTCTGGAGGGCAGGATTAAAAATCATCCATAGTGAAATGAAAATAAAAAATAGATGGACAAAGACCAATTTATAGCAAGACACTTACTTGCATGATTTTATTACTTCCAAGTGGAAAAGATTGTGTTGACCCTTTTTATTTTTGTTTTCATCCTCTGGAAGTTAAAGCATTGTGGTTAAATTTTCTTTCTTCAAGTGTCCAAAAGTTGCAGGGATATAGAACTTTTCTCAGGAACATCAACTATGCATTGGATAGAAAATAAGAGAAAATGAATGGTATACTGATACAAATGCAGACTTGGGGGAAAAATAAAAAAGAAAATAACATTTATATATACTTAGTATGTGCCAAGTCCTGAACTGAATCCTTCTATAAATTGATACCTAATTTTACAGTAAAATAGGAACATAAATATTATAATCCTTTCTTTATGGACATTACACCAAACATAAATATTTTCCATGAAGATAACACTTTGTGAATAGAGTTCATAGATTTTAATTTTCATACACATACAAATAAACTAATTCTATTTGCTTTTTACCATTTACATAGATAGAACACATTGTATTTATGGTTTGTTTCTATCTCTTTGTTGCACGATTAGCATGAGATACATTGGCGTTCCCTTAAGAGTCACTGTACATCTTACTGATACGTTGTGCTCTGTTGGCTGAAGGTGCCACAGATTATGCCCTTATTTATACTACAGTAGATGGACATTTGCTTCAGTTGTAGTTTGAGGTAATTTTTTTGAGCTTTGGACTTACCCTGCTATTCAGGCGTGGTGTGTTTGTTCAGCTTTTACACTACCCCAGTGTAATGCACACACACACACACACACACACACACACACACACACACACACACACACAGTTACCTGCGCCACCTTCATTCTTGTCTCTGAGACCACAACTAACCCAGCTCCGTGCAGTAAAATGGAAGGAAAACTTTTTTAAAAACTAATTTAGTATTTTTCTTCCTTTTTAATGATGCCATGCTGTTCTATTTAACTGAGTGCTCTGTCTCTATCAGAATAGAGTGTTCTGTATCATAGAATCTACTGTACTTTATTGAATTACCTGTTTAGGTACAGTCTACTCTAAACCAGATAACTTTCAAGAGAGGTTTATATTTATATTTATACTTATATTTAATTGATTATTTCATGCAACACACAGTAATTTAGCACACATTGTATCTCTTACTGTGTGTTAACTCAGGGTCTACTCTCTTGTTTGGTTGCATAAACCGATCTTTCTGAGCGGTCAGCATACTTCCTCTAAATTAGGGTGGGAACGATAAATATTTTTTTGAATTAAACTGTTCTGGGATTGTTGGACAATAGAGGAGCAAATGAAATCTACTGTTTTGTATTTTTATAAAAGAGTAGCATTTGGGACTAGAGAGATACTTCTAAGTGAATTATACTGTGATTTTATTTTTATTTTTTGTGAGGGTGGTAAATATCAGGGCAGTCCAAGAGACTGAGCCTTATTATCATACTTGATTTCGTTTTTAGAAATGGGCAAAATTCCTCCGTGATTTTGAGAACTTCAAAGCTGCTTGTGTTCCATGGGAAAATAAAATCAAGGCAATTGAAAGTAAGTGTTTATCATGTCTCATTAGAAGGGGAAAGTAGTCTGAGCCAAACTTTTATAAGATATGTTTTTCTATTTCTGGACTCTTGGGAAGATTTAAAAACAAGTAAAACCAGCCAGTCAACCAGCCAAAGAGTGTTGTTTACTCTTCTTTTGACTGCTGTTAAGATTTGTGCCAGTCAGATTTCAGTTACTATGATTAAACACCCAAGATAATTAACGCAAAAGAAGAAAAGGTTGCTCTTGGCTCATAGTTCTAAAGTTTTCAGTACATGGTCACTTGGCACTGGTACTTTGGGCCTATCATGGTTTATTTTACCATGATGGAAGCATGACAGGAGAAGTCATTCACCTCACATTAGTCCAAAAGCGGGGGGGGTGGGGGGGGAGAGAACACCAGCAGTGTTCCTCTCCATAGGCCACACTTTTGAACATTTTACCACCTCCCAACACAGCCATGGTCTGTCCTCCAAGCACAAGCCTTTGGAGGAACATTCTAGAACCAAACTATAACAGTTTGCCAGCCATCACTAAGGACCGCAGCAGGGCCTGCACTCCTTTGTCCTTCCTTGGAGCAAAGCATCCCTATTCTGCTCTGGTGTTCTCTTTTAGACAGGGATATCAGTACTGCATACAATGACACTGAATTACATCATTTGCAAAGCAGTGATTTGATTTTGGCTGTGAGCATGACATTGAAAATGCTCTCTTGAATGTTAGATAGTAACCAAAATGAATACTATTTAAATGGAATACAGAAGTCTTAAAATCTCACTTTCAGACTTGCAAAAAAGAATAAGCAATAGTTAAAAATTTACTATTTTAACATTCATAGTATGCCTTCATTTTGTACAATATTCATAATGCTTTCCTCTTTGGGCAACATTTTTCATCTCTAGTCTCTATTTCTACATTTACAGTCTCACAAGGAATCTGAGAGTTTGATTAGAGTCTAAGGGTACCTAAAATTGTTTCTAACCCAACAGTCCATGATGTATAATTTAAAACCTGTCTTAGATGTATGGTTAAACATGTAAAATTCCTTATACTTTTGAATAATGTTATTGAAAAATTCAAATGGAAAATAGATTATACCGTGAGAGTTCTGTTTACCTTTTCATACCTTTCTGAATAAAGTTTATTAAATGTATGACCTATTTATAGAATATATAGCCTATTTATGAAATATGTTTAACCACACAGTAGTAAAATGCTTCTTTTTTAAAAAAAGAAATGATCAATTAATCATCCAAAAGTTTTAGAAATATAGTTAGATTTCTTTTGAGTGTCTGAGCCATCAAACACGTATCTAATTTAATCTTTGGAATCAACTTGACATTATTGATTAATTAATTGATCAAATGTTCACTGAAAGCCTGCAATTTAGGTAAGTTTTTGAATACTATTGCTGCTAAGAAAGACAAACAAAAACTCCCCTCACTGAATTTATACTCAAATGTGCGGATATTTGCAGGGTTGGGTGAGTAAGATCCTAAAATACAAAGAGATAATGACAGCGATCATGATTAAGGTTAAGTGGCATGTTAAAAAGGGGCAGTTTTTCTCTACTCCCATTCATCTTTCTAATCCACTTTCTTTCAGTTTCTGATGATTTTCTAAATAAATCCTGAATGTTTTTGAAGTATGATTTTTAATGAGCCCCAAGGCTTCCCTAAGTTTGCCCAAAGCCCTGATTAATAGCTGGTAGAATCAAGGAAGGTGTGTGAGATGGAATCCAATTCCATGCTGCTATCATTCTGATTACGGTAAGACCTTGAGCACCACCACCACAGAGCAAGTATTCACTTGAAGACTTGCCACATATTTTCACTTTAGAAATTCACTTGGTAGTTCCTGCCACAGCGGAAGCTGTGATGTGCTGCTGTGCATGAGAAAGCCTTGGGGTTTTACTTTCCAGTCTTGTAAAGGAGTCCATGCCCCGGGCCCCAGTCCCCCTGATGAGTTCTTCTTATCAATCACACCATACTGTGCATTTTGCTGAAGAACCTGCTTGAAAATATAACCTTTCCTCCCTTGGATGTCAACATTGGTATTAAAACCATAGGTTACATGATTGAATATCTTTCAAACTGGAGATGATAAATCTTTCTCAGAATCAAAATCTTTTTTTTTCCTAATAGTAGATTATAACACCAAAAATGTGGTATGATAGATTTGTTAGAATTGGCTTCAGGTAGGGAACCCAGTACACAGAGTTTATCCCGGATGTTTCTGTGCTGTATCTAGGACTGCAGGAAACACGAATCAAACTGTCACGTGCAGTTCACCCCACTAGACTTGCTGGAAAAACCACTGTTTCATATCCTGGTCTAACACAATGCTTGTTATTGTTGTACTCACATAGCAGGCCATTTAACTTATCTTTTTTCCATTTACAGCTACTTATATTTATCTGTTCATTTATTTCCCATCTGTTCATGAAGAAATTATACATGATGACAGAGTACAAAGTACTTTGGTTTAATAATAAATAAGCAGAGGGAGAAGTAAAACTTTAGCTTTAATTGGAAAGGAGCATGAGAAAATTCAAGATCAAGCATATGCCTAAGCTTAATTTTCACTTTCCTATGCATGGAAGACTCTTCTGGTATATCAGTACTTTACTATGAAAGCATAACTTATCACTTGAAATAAATAAACTGGTTATTGTGAGTATGATCCAAATTGTGAATCTGAATAGCTTTGGTTAACGGATGCAACTTATTCTTTTAGACATACACATTCATCCCACACTTATTATACACTGAGTATTGAGTAATTTAAGTGTAGTCTGTCTTGAGGGGCCAGATCTCTGTGGTAAGGGAGCTTTGGGTTCAGAGTTGAACACACCCGTAGTTAATGAGTGCTGATTTAAGATTCTACCTCCACTTGTTGATGTAACTTACAGGCCCAAGTATCTATAAAATGGGGATGTGATTGTTCTCATCTCATGAGATCTTGATGATGATTAATTAAAACTCAGAGATCAAAGAGATGTCTGAAGTCTGGGGATTTAGCTCAGTGACATCAGCGCCTGCCTGGAAGGCGCGAGGTCGTGAGTTTGACCCTCGGTACCAAAGTAAAACAAAACAAAACCAACAAAAAACAAAACAAAACAAAAAAAGAGATGTCTGAAATAAATAAATATTACTTGTTACTATTAATCAACTCTTGGTTCAGCCAACTCCTAAATTTTTGTTTTCTGATCAAAACAATGACACTAACCCCAGATTATTTTAGTGGTAGCAAAATGCATGGATGCTGGTGGGTTCTTAGTCTACATAATTAACCAGGAAGATAAGTTATCTATTATTATTAATATTGCTATTTGTTTTTGTTCTTTTTCAAGAACAAATTGATTTTACTTGAGAGACTAAGTGTAACTATTATTTTTATTTCTTTCTTAGTTACATCATACAAGGTTTTTGTTTTTTATGAGCATCAGCTTTTATCAATGACTTTCAGCTGGATAAAAACTCCAGGATAAATGGGGCAGGTTTCCTTTTCATTTTTGTGCTTATATGGGGAAAGGTCCTACAGGGCATTAACATCAATCTTCGCTTTCATCACTTTGACGTCTTGGTTACGTTACTGTGCTTTGCCTCTACTGTTCCTATTAACTGCAGAGGGAACATTGTCTTCTGGGTTCCGCAGTCTTTTTGACCTCTGTCTGTCTGGGTCTGTGGCAGAATTTCCTAGTTTTAATGAAATTTGTTTCACTGAAATTCATTTTCTTTATACTTGTACTTCTTTAAAAAATCCACCTTCAGAAAGAATCTCATGGAGCCCTTTCCAGTTGCCAAACTGGAGTTTGCAGTTGCAGTCTTGGGTCTCTACACATGCATTTTATTCATAATGAATGAGTGTGTTGGAGAAAACATCTTTGTTCACTTCTCTCTTTTGCATTTAAAGTTTATATTCAAGAAATTCATTTGCTGGGGGGTTATGTCTGAGAGGTGACAGACTGTGGGCCATGGTGACATTTAGAGGATCAAAATTGCAGGAAGAAAGGAAGGGGAAGGGAGAGAAAGGAAGGAAAGGAGGAAGGAAGGAATGAAGAAGGAGAGGGGAAGGAAAGAAGAAGGGAAGGAGGGAGGGAAGAAAGGAAGGAAGAGGAGAGAGGGAGGAACAGAACAAGGAAAGACAGCAAGAAGGAAGGAAGGCATCCTGGTGCTTGGGAGTGTCTGTCCTGGGGTTTTATGTGTGCTTTGAGATCCAGGTTCTCCTTGGTAAATGTGTGACTGATGGTGAGCACGTTGGAAGCCCGCTGTGTTCAGTAGGCAGTGAGTGGTTACAGCACCTGGCCACAAGGTATTTTTCAAAAGTCCATGTTCTTAGAGAACTTCTAGAGTGATAGATCTCTAGAATATGAAAAGAGCCCAACTTTTCTTTTGAACTTAAAGCAAACAAATACTCAAAATTATTGATTTCTTCTAAATGTCCACCTCCAGATTGACTTCTTTGTAAGTTTTTTAAAAAATCCTGACATACTATTATGGGAAAAAGTAAAATGTTACCTGGACTGCAGTCTAGAAATAGAAGTATTGGTCTCCTGTGAGGTTGGACTCTAGATGGTGGTTAGAAGCTGGCGTTTTCCAGCACAAACCCGCCTCTTGGAGCACTACATCCCCACCAGGACCATTTCACAGCAGAGGGCTGGAGAAAAGGTAGAGGATCTGGTGAGTTAAACAAGACAAAGATGCTCATGCAGGGGTGGTTGAGGTTGGGGAGCTGAAAGTGGTGATTGGGAATATTTAGGAACAATAGAAACTTGATGCTAAATCCATCAAAGAAACTAGCTCTTCTCAGTCCATAACGTCTTGACCTGAGATGTTACGAGTTCTGTTCCTTCTTCTATTTTCATCTTTAGAAGAATGCTTTTAGTCTATCATCTATCTTCTCTCTCTATTATTTCTATCATCTATCTATCTGTCTATCTATCTATCTACCTATCTATCTGTCATTTATCTATCATCTCTCTCACTATTATCATCTATCTATCTATCTATCTATCTATCTATCTATCTATCTACTATCTATCCATCCATCCATCCATCCATACCATACTGTCATTTTCTTCTGTCAGTTAGAGTTGCACAGATCGCCACACCTCTCACTGTTTGGGGCAGGTGTGAAATGACAGATCATTCTTGCATTTGAGGAATGCAATTCATTCCTCAAAGCTGAAGTGTTTTTCCAAAGCCACACCCACTCCCACCCCTCTGCAGCCCACTATTTAACAGCTGGCAACAACTTCTCCTTGCATGTTAAATAAATCCCCCTCCTCTTGCCTTTGGAGGCCCTGTAGGTGCTGTTGGCATCTCTGTCACTTTCTCTCATTGATTGTACCCCAGCTAGACCTTAGTTTTGTTTCTTGATTGCCCCCAGCTCTTGTCTCTCAGTTTTGTTCTTGCTCCTTCCTCTGGTTGGGCCAGCTCTGCCTTCCCAGCTCTGCATGCTGATCTCTCTGCCTCAGATATCTGCTCTGTCTTCCTCTCCAATATATTTTCCTCAATGAATTTATACAAAGTAACTCCTCTAAATGCCTTTCCTGCAGGATACATCTGGCTAGAATGGGTCCATGTATGTATTATGTATGCATGTAATGTCTGTCTAATATGATCTTCATATATATATATGTAAATATGATCATGTTTGTTTTCACATTTACTGAAACATAAGTTCGTCGAGCAGCCATATGCTTCAGCTAAAACAATTGTGCTCTCTGAGAAAATTGGTAGAAAATACTTAGGAAAGACCTTCAACTTCCACAGTCTCTGAGAAACACAGTGCTGAGGGGAAAGCATCCAGGATGCCTGTAAGAGAACCTTCTGTAACAGAGGTGGCAAGCTCTTTCAAGAAGGGTATAGTTTCCCTGAGGAAAACAGAGGAGAAACTGCAGTAGTTTTAACTACTCACAAGCTGGACATGCTAGTTATTATTTTATATACATCTTTTCACTTACTTGTATTAATTCAAAGCATAAACTAGAGCTATTTTGCTATTACTATTTTACTGTTACTATTTTGCTGGGAGCGATTGCAGATATTGGGCAGAGGGTAGCATTCTCCCCAGGGCCCAGGACGAGGGGCACCAGTCTCCACAGCTGTATTCTATGTGCTTTGTCCACTCAGACTGCAAGGACGCCTTCACCATGACCAGTGCATTCTCTTCCTGGACAACCAAGGCTCAGGCTTGCAGACAGGACCAGTGGGTCCCACTGTGCTTATTTATCTTGGAGGGCTAGAGGATGGAGCTCCTGTTTTACTTGGTTTTGAGTCCCACTTTTAAGTTTCGTGTTTTCTCTGTCACAGGTCAGTTTGGCTCCTCGGTGGCCTCCTATTTCCTCTTCCTGAGGTGGATGTACGGGGTAAACATGGTTCTGTTCATCCTGACCTTCAGCCTCATCATGTTGCCAGAGGTGAGCTCTGACATCTATTTTGTGGGACAAACTGAAAAGCATCACTCGCGTGACCACTCTGCCAGAAAAGTTTTTGACTGTTGTTTAATAACACAATGTTTGGTTTGATGTTCACTTCTTGCTAGAGTTAGGATTTATGACAAAATTAACCTTCTACGTGGTGTCCCTGGGCTGAAGGACTTAATCCTCTCTCCCAGGGTGCATGCACAAAGTTGTATAAAATCATATATAAAACATGTTCGATATGCACTTTTTACGTGAAATGTTCACGGTCTCTGTAAGATTCCCAAGGTTGTGGGAATCCCTCTGTCCCTTGTTAAAAACAGCTACTCTGAGAGCCAGGTTTTGATAGTCGATTGCACTTTTGCCAAATTTTCTTTTAAAAATCTGCTCCATAAAATAGCTGTAAGCGTCCAGCTTTTCTGAAAGAAACACAAAATGAAGAAAGTTTTCCAGATATGGAGTAAGTTCCTCATGCCCCCTCCCCTTACAGGTGCACACTATCATTGTGGGCCAGAGGTGGGTCTTTTAGGACCAATGTCAGAAAGTAAGTTAAGCAGAGAGTCCGGAATGAAGAGAAGGGCAAAGCCCTAGCTGCTTGGGAAGAGAGTCAGCTAAGGCCAAAGCACTGGCTTGAGTTTGGGACCTTTATCTACAGGAATGTAAAAGACTTTTGTGAACACTTGCCATACAAAAGTTAGTTGGTGTTTAACTTAACATTTGAACAATTTCAGATACAAGTGTTTCAAAAATCAGTTTATTCAATATAGGATTGCAAGCGGTCAAAATTTGGTGTTTGAGTGACTTTACATAGCTTTAAGTATGTGCTATTTTGGGTCCCTAGCCTCCCTATTAGAATAGTAAGAATGCCTTCTAATGATAAGCAGATATTAGCTTGTAATAGTGCAAATCACTTTCACTTCCTTTACATAATGAAACTCACAAAAAACTCATGAGGGAGGCTGTTCTCACATTTAAAACACATAGAAACTGAGTCTTGTACTGGTATGTGGCTTGGTGACTCTATCTTTGTTCCCAGTTTTGTACTTTAATTAACTATTCTGATAACCCCTGTGCTAATGTGGGGGCTTGTAGGAGTGTTTGGCTTGTAGAAGAAGCCAGCCCGACTCCAACTCTGGTACAGTTTCTCTCCCAAGTGGAAACTCTTGGGCAGGGTGGCAGAATATGTGTATTTCATTGCTTTCAAATCAACTCAACCTTGTTTTTGCTGATCTCGCTAAACCAATGCAGAGGTCCTGCCTTCTGTCAGGGTGTCAAACACAGGTAAGACGGAGGCTTATCAGCTGCAGTCTCTCTTGCCCAGGCCTCGCTGCCCGTGCGTGGAGGAGATGAGAAACTGCTGCTACCTCTGTGAAATCATACAGCTGTGCGGCGGATGGGGTGAATGCATGTTGGCTGGGACGTCCTCTGAGAGCAGGGAGCGTCTTGCCTTTTCTTAAGCTTGTCTTGGATGGCGAGAGGCACCCTGTTTTCTGGCCAAAGATTCTCATTTCCTGCCTAAGAACAGAAGCTGCCCCCCCATGCTAATTTTACTGACCCACTAGAGATCAGGACTGGGCATCTCTGGATTACATGGCTATGTTTTGTGTTTGTCTTTATCTCAACCCCTCAATTTGCTAATACTTGGAGGAATGTGCCCTTTTGCCACAAACTTCAGTGTCCATGGACAAATGGGACCATAATTTCTTGTGTCCTCTGTGACTCCCACTTTTGGGGTGATGCAGTATGTATAAAGACACGTTCTACTCTACTCTACTCTACACGTTCAGACCAGGAAGTCAGAAGGGCGGGAAGGCTGCAGTATGAGATTGCAGAGGGAAGGAGGAGGGGCTCCTTGCCAGCCCTTGCCCAGTCAAGCTGCACACCCAGGGTTCAAACTGAATTTGGCTTCTGCCCACAGACCCAGAGAAGGTAGGATTTCGTTTCAGGAAAGAAGCAGCTTGTACATTGCAAGCCGTGGCCGAAGGGTGCTTTTCCCGGTTGCCACCAAGACCTCTTCCTATGACCCTATTCTTGTCCTGTTGCTTGCCTATTGCCCTCTGGCATTACTCTCATTATCTCACAAATTCAGAGCACAACCCTGTCTTAGGGATGGTGCAGACTCCACCATCGGGGTGCAACTGTTCCCTACTGTAGCATCCTCAAAGGTCATGATTGATTGTCACAAGGCTTCTCATGCTGCATGTCCGGGAAGAACTCTCCCACTGCCCGCATCCCTCTATGCTATTTCAGGTGACAGTGTGGCCCGGACAGTTTGTTGTGCACTCTAGTGTCCCTATAGGCTATCTCTCTACTTTCCAGACCTCCTCTAAGTCAGGCCGCTGTGGAGATGGTGGGTGAGCGGTGTTTCCATTGGACCCCCGGTGACTGTGGTGGCCCCCACCCCACTCCATTGGTGAACTGAGCTCTGGATGCAGGGTCCTTAGCAGTCCCTTTGTTTTTAATTCTGGATTTAGTAGATTCTCAGAGAATGGGACCCCACATGGAGAGCCACAGAGTTGTCATGAAATGATTTCAGAAGGGCTTTTAATCAAAATCATTTGTGACCACATGTGTGGCTGAGATTTTGTTTGTAATTGTTAACTTCTCTCTCTCTCTTTCTCTCTCTCTCTTTCTCTCTCTCTCTCTCTCTCTCTCTCTCTCTCTCTCTCTCTCTCCTCCATATAGTACCTCTGGGGTTTGCCATATGGCAGTTTACCTAGGAAAACAGTTCCAAGAGCAGAAGAAGCATCTGCAGCCAACTTTGGTGTGTTGTACGACTTCAATGTAAGTGTCTCCATCAACTGTGGTGGGGTTGGATTCTTCCTTATACTTAATTCTGAGTCCTCATATACTCTGCAAAAAAGAAAAGAATACATGTGTGTGCACTTGAATAAGGCTTAGAAGTGTGATAATATTATTAAGCAGAAACACAGATTACTGAAAAGGTAAGCTCAGGGTCCAAAGATTTGAAACAAATGTTATTATTTGTGGTTTAGGAAAAGAACAAAAGAAGAACGTGCAAATGTACTTACTGAGAAATCTTTTTGAATACTTAGGAAATTCATTTTTCACTTTGTATTAACTTCCTTGTTTCATAAACAAGCCTCCTATTCAGAATTACCCAAAAACTAGCACTAAATAAAGCTAAACATTAATACTAAAACATACCAAGTTCTGACTTTTATCTAATACTGTATTACTCCATTGTAGTCGCCAGATGGATACCATGCAGTGGTAGTGCTAAAATGAGCATTGCTCGTTTACTATGCCAAAAGTTTATTCCTGCCCATTGAAAAGTCATCTTAGAATATGATTCAAGTTTGTGACAATGGTAGCAGCTCCACACATTCTTTTCAAAACAAGCTAGGTTGGAGATATTTGGACGCACATGGATGGAAAGTTGCAAAACAGAAATTAAGAAATTGATAACTTGAGGAATTTTCAGAGGATAAGAAATGAAAATAGACTTTTATTTGGGCTATAAAACAAAGGAAGAGGGGGGAAAAAAGCCAGGTGTCCTCTTTATACTGTAAATGTGTGTATTTCATAGTAATTTTGCCTTCTACCTATAGCATCTTAAATTGTGAGCTTCTTGAAGAAGGAATTATGGCAACTATGTCTTCATTTTAGTCTTTACCTCTGTTCTTACCCAGTGCAGCCCCAGCAATCTTGTTGATTGATAATTCCAAGAGTGTGTGGGTGGGTGGGGGCAGGATTTGTAGAGCCTTGAGAAGGAGACTCAGAAATCAGTCCATGCCATCAGCACCAGAATAGGCAAGGCTTGAGAAAATTCCCCAGTTTCAGAGTGAGCTAAGCAAGCTACAGAATAAGCATAAGTCACAGTAACATTTTTCATCTTTGGCCATCTTCAATAACTTCTGAAGTTGAACTTTTCATTTCAATTCAGCATGTGTTTACTGACTGTTAGAATGCATTAATTTTGGAAAGATGATGGCCTTGTTTTTGACCTCAGGATACTCATGGTACTAGAATAAAGACACACAGGCAACTGCTGGACAATGCTGAATGCTCTAAGTTAGCACAAAAGAGAGAAAAGGAAGGTTCTGAGGAGTCCTGAGTGAGTCGCTGCTAATTCTGCTTGATCAGGCCTGAATTTCATAGGAAGTGTGATCTCTGAGTTTAATTTTACTTCTTACACTTTTATTTTTAAAAGAGGTTTTAGTAGTTTTATTGTATACTTTACACACCATAAAATCCACCCAATATATAGTATAGTTCAATAATTGTTAATAAATGTATACAGTTTTGCAGCCATCCCTACAATCCAGGTTTCTTTTTCTTTGTTATTGTTTGGTTTTATGAGACAGAGTTTCACTCTAACTCAGCACCCAGGCTGGCCTGGAACTCAGCATCCTCCTGCGTCAGCCTCTTTGAGTACTAAGAATACAGGCCCAGTCCATTATACTATAATCCAATTTTAAAAGACTTCTATCACCTCCCAAGAAATTCCTTTGTGCATTTTGCAGTCAGTCTCTCTTCCCACCACCCGTCTCAGGCACCACTGATACTGCTTTCTGTCTCTATAGTTTTTTTTCCCTAGACTTTTAGAAATATAATTGGAATCACATGATATTTAGACTTTTGAATGTCGTTCCCTTGGTATTATGTTTCTGCATCTGGTTCCCTCATGCTGTGATGTAGATAGTAATTCATTGCTTTTTGTTGCAGAGTGGCATTGCGTTGTATGGCTGCAATGTGCTTTAGTTAACCATTCACCGATTGATAGACATTTGCATGGTTTCTAGGGTTTTGTTATTTGGAAGAGTGTTGCCATTAATATCTGCACACATGAGCAGATACTTTCATTTCTTCCAGGGAGATAGGTAAGAAAGGAATGACTGGGTAAGCATATGTGTAACTTACTGAGAAATTATCAGTGTGCGAGAGCGGCTGTACCACTTAATATTTTCACAGTAGTAAATGACAAATGCAGTTTGCCTAAATCTTTAACAATTGATGTTAAGTCATTTTGATTACAAGTCTGTTCTGTCCTGTTGGAGTTACCATGGTACCTTTCTGTCCTTTTAATTTGCATTTCATTTTTATTAGATTGTGACAAATTATATATGTATATTTTTAAGAGGGTACAAAATATTATGACTTTCCATTATAGTGGTAGGTATGATTAAATCAAGTGAACTAACCTATCCACTACCTCAAATATTTGAAATTTTTGTGATGAGAACATTTCTCTCTCTTTGGTTTGTTTTCCTGGGGATTGAAACCAAGAGTGCCCTGCCACTGAGCTCTATCCCCAGCCCATTTATTTTTAATTTAATTTATTTTTAATTTAAAATTTTGAGATAAGGTCTCCCTAACTTGGCCAAGCTAGCTTCAAATTTGTCATCTTCCTGCCTTAGGATCCTGAGTACTTGGTATTACAGGTCTGTGCCACCACACTCAGTGAGATGATTCTTTTAATGATATCGAAATGTATAGTAGTCAGTTATTAACCGTATTCATCATGTTGTACAATAGCCTCAAACTTAGACCCCTCTATGCGGCTTTGTAACTTTTGATTATCATCTCCCAGCCCCAGCCTCTGGCAACTATGATTCTACTTACTGCTGCTAGGAGTTTGGTTGATTAGACTGTGCATGCAAATGAGACAATAGGGGATTTGTCTTTCTGTGTGTCTTACGTCACTTAGCAGTGAGCTATAGTTGCTAAATAAAACCATTCACTCCATAACCCTTTTTATGGTAAGCATTTTTATTTGAAAACTGTGTGAGAGTGTACCCATATGTAAAATGGAAAAAAAAAAGGTGGTAATATCTACCTCAAGAGCATTAAGTAAGGTAAAGCCTGAAAGAACCTACAGTGTGGCATGGCATGCAACATATTGTAAGTATTCTTATATATGTATGAGCCATAACATGCCAAAAGACACACAGCTATTAGGAAACAACTGGAACGTAGTGCTAATTCTATTAGATAAGGCCAGATTTGGGAAGGGCAAGGTAGCAGAAATGCCAGTAATATAACTTTAGCTAAATGAACCATTACTAAGGAAGAGTCATTGAAGGACTCAGAGAAAGCAAGCGATGAAGATTATGAAATTATTCCCTGAATCTGATTTTTCTTGTGGAGATGTTAATATTGCTGCTTTAAGAACTTTTGCACGAGGGGTTGGAGATTTAGCTCAGTGGCATAAGTGCCTGCCTTACAAGCAGGCAGTTGTGAGTTCAATCCCTGGTACCGATAAAAAGGAAGAAGACAAAAAAAAAAAAAAAAAGAAGTTTTGCACGATGCGTGAGTTTTATAAATTCTTGATGTAAAGAGCTTTGTCACTGTTTTTGCCAAGATTTTATTATAAATTTGGCAAGAAAAGATCTTGATCCATTTTAGAGATGCTCTATTTTTTCCCTTATTTTTATCAGAAGAAAGATTTTAGTACATCCTGAAATGATTAAAAAAGTATAGGGTGGGGGGAATATTCTTATCAGACCAAAGGGTCGGTCTGGAGCTGAAATAGTAGTTTAATAACTGAAGCATTCTTCTGTTTATATTATAATGTAATCCTCATTCTAACCTGGAAAAGTCCTTACTACCCTTAATTTACAAACTAGGGGACTGAGGATTGGTGGGATTTGATATTTTCTCCTACATTTTGTGGGTGATAAATGATGGGGCTAAGATTCTTATCACTGCATCTGGCTCTGAAGCCTAGAACATGTGGCTTTATATTCTGTTAGTGGCTGCTGATAAAGCTCTAATTTTATGATGGGAATTCAGAAAGTAAGAGAATTAAACGTCTTCCAATCTATATCCCACACTGTAAAGACAGGGAAACATTCTCAGAAGGTACTTGTGGTAGTCCCCTGCTTCCTGAGGTATGAAGGAGCCAGAGAAAATAATTTGGAAAGGAAAAAAATTATTTATTAAATCACAGGCCTGGCGACGCAGCCTCGAGCAGCCAATATGGAAGACTGCCTAACAGCTAAAGGGCAGGGTTTTTATCCTGTAAAATCGCAAACAGCTGCTAGTCTCATAATGCAGGGGGTGGAGTTTGCAGTGCACTACAGAACAGCAACGCGGTGGTCACATTTCTTGGGAAGAACAAGGTTCAGGTGGGCTAACAATCAAGTTTAGATTAGGCAAACATCCTGTTCCGCTCTTAAAGTTACCTTATATCTTTCTCTTGCCTTCGGGGAGACTTAAGAGGATTTTTTTTTTTTTTTTTAATATAGGTTACAACAGTACTCAGGATCTTTTGACTTAGAGCTGCCTAATTTAGCATTTTTTTCCATTCCCTGTATTCAGTCAATAATTTTTCTGTTAGCTGGATGTGGTTACACAGGTCTGTAATCCCTGTATGCCAGAGGCTGAAGCAGGAGGATTGTCATGAGTTCAAGTACAGTCTGGGCGACATAGTGAGTTCAAGGCCAACCTGAACTACATAGTGAGACCTTATCTCAAATTTTTTTTTTCCTGTAAAATTGCCTCCAGAGCTCTTCCTGACTGTACTGGAACATGGACTGATGATTTAATGTTCTACTTGTCTTAAAAAGGAGGGACTGAAGCAGTTGGAGGCCATTTTTACCTTTTACAGTAAGCTTTGCCATTTCAAAATCAGCTTTTCAAATACAGTGGCGCATTCAGTGTGTCTTCTTTCCCAAGGATCTTACCCGATGCTCTGAGCAATGACCTCGTAGAGATTCCCACCCTGTATTATCAGGGGCACCTAGCTTCCATGTATTGTGTCACCGTGCTAGAACCATTGACCACGTATCCATTGACATGAAAACTCACAGTTCTGATTT